TTCTCCTCCGGCCCCTGCTAAACCAGGGGGAGCCTGTCCCTTTCCTTCATGAATGCTACCTCTGTTCAGACACCCTCCCTCAGGCATTGCTGTCGGCCTGGCTGGCGACTGAGCCTCCCTCTACTCTCTGAAATGACACATCTGAACCAGAAAGTAGTTGCATGACTTTTATTTCCCTATTTATTTCAAAAACCTTTTTCCTCCAAAACCTCCTCAGGACTCAGAGCCTTTCCTGCAAGCACCAGGGAATTATTACTTGTGTATTATAGTCACGCACAGGCTGCAGGGACCAGCTGATGGGGAGGCTCAGTGACAGAGATGAAATCCCCCCCTTCAGCTCAGTCCGAGACACAGGGCTCTGCGGTCTGGCCTGCCACGCACCACCCCGAGGCATCCGCTCCTTCGCAGCTCTGCCTGCAGCTCCTCTGCAGCCAGGGAAGCCGTGAGGGGAGGCACATCGGCTCCGCGGGTACCGGCCTGGGCTTGCTACTTGTTTTCTACATGAGCAGATGATGCAGAAGTACCACCTTCTCTTTTAAAGCTGCTCGCATCTTTTTCCATGTTGGGGGCTGTCCAGTAACACCTGCTTTCTTTCTTTGTCTCCAACCAGATCGTGGCTGCTATATTTGCTATTGCAGGGATAGTTATGATGACATACGCTGATGGGTTTCACAGCCACTCCGTTATTGGGATAGCCCTGGTGGTGGGCTCTGCCTCAATGTCTGCTCTCTACAAGGTAAGCACATCAAGCTGTGCAGCTTGTTCTGCAATGAATGCCACTCTGCCGCTGCTGCTGCCACTCTGCTCTTGCTTTCCGCAGTCTGGCTTGGTTTCTGTGAATTATTTGTGCTGAAGGAGCAGGCAGATCTGCAGGCAGACAAGCTGCGCCATGTGCAGCAGAGCCATCTCGACCTGCCCTCCTCCCCCAGACATGGACCCTTCACTGTGCCCGTGCCAGCTCCCCACCCTGCCAGGGGCAACACGCCGTCCTCAGGTGGCGAGGGGACGAGTTCCCAGGGAGAAGGCAGTCTGACGCTGTGGGGGTGTGTTGGGAGGCAAGGACAGGGGTGCTTGCGGGCTCCCCACAGCTTCACGAGCAGCCATCGCAAGCGTCCGGCAAGCATCGCTGCATAGGTGCCGACTGACACTGCTCGGCACCCAGCCCCTCACCACCAAGCGCTGGCCGTGGGCCAGGATGCCGGGAGCCATGGAGCCAGGACACCAGCCCTCCAGAGGGTTAACCCCATGTGTTTTCCTCCTGTAGGTTTTATTCAAACTTCTTTTGGGCAGTGCTAAATTTGGAGAAGCTGCCTTATTCCTGTCCGTGTTAGCTGTCTTCAACGTCCTCTTCGTTACCTGTATTCCTGTCATCCTTTATTTTACCAAAGTGGAGTACTGGAGCTCTTTTGACGTCATTCCTTGGGGAAACCTCTGTGGATTTTCGATTCTCTTATTGAGTGAGTAGAGGGGGGGCTCTCACACTGCTCAGAGTGGAGGAGGGTGCCAGAAACTGGCCGCTGGTGGAAGCTGCAGACTTCTGACAAACTGCTTTCCCTTCTTCTCAACCTAATTATTAGCTTGAGAAATCATGCAGAGGGCCCATTTCCAGGTGGCAACGTAGACCCTGCTCCTGCTGTTATTACCAAACCAAAATCTTATGGCTGTCATTAGAAGGTGCTGTGGGACTAAACTGTAAAGCTCGTCCTAACTCCTACTCGTGAACTCTGCTTCACAGAGACAAGTGGCACTTGCCCAGGCTGTGACAGGCAGGGCATTACCTTGGGCTCATCAGCATCCCCCAAGTAAGCAGGTTAGGCCTCCAGTGCCAGCCTCCAGTGCCTCTGCTGACTTCAGTAATAGCGAACTGCTATTCCTAAAGAGCAGGAAACTTTGGAAAATGTAGCATTGCATAGTGCTGATGGGAGTTTGGTAGGTGGCACTCCTCTCTTCTGCTGCCACTGCTGTGCCAGCGAGGGAACCCAGCGTGGGTGGGATGCCACATCCAAGCTTTCATGATTCATGGTCATCAGAAATGTGATGCTGTTCCTTGTTAAACTAGATGTGTTAACTGCTGCCACAGTTGGTCCCCAAACTGGATGATGGCATCACATCTCCTAAAATGTTCCTTTCATTTCTACTGGAAATAGCCCTTCCCCATCCCTGTCTTGAGTCCCATCTCATTCTACCCTGAACAATCATGATGCTTGACTCTAGAAGTACCTCCAGTTTACTTATCAGTGGCCTCAGTGGAAGTTTTCTGTAAGTAAATAGCACAGAATTTGGCAAGCGTTCACTGGGGTGTGCAATGTATAGGTACTGCTAGAAAACAGACAGAGCCCCAGCTCCTGACAAGCTCAGTACTGGCAAGGCTGTCTTGAATTTGCTAAAGCTAATCACCATAAAACAAGGGTGAATTTGGTCCAAAGCAATTACAAATTTGTCATAGGACACTCCATGAACAGTGTATGGCATTACAACGGAGTGATATTATAATCATGCAGTTATAATGCTATTATAATTTCATTGTGTGAAATTATATTTAGCAAGTTCCTGTCAGGAAGAGGGCTAGATGTACCGCATCTTCCACCTGTGGCTGGAGGCAGCTTTTCTACAAGAAAGGTATCCAGACAGAAGCAACTGTTTGGCTGAAATCTCCCAGATGAAGTGTGTTTAGTCTTTCAGCAGGGCAAACTGGCTTGGCATAGAGAGTGGGAATCACCGTACATTACACTGGGAGACAGGTTGTACCCAAACCTCACCTCGATCCTGCCACTGGGCTCCAGTGGGATATACAATTCCCTGGGAACAGCAGTGTCTCAGGCAGACGGACATGCAGCAGACAGACATCTGTCCACAGGCATCTTCCAGGAATAACACCAGAAGTTAATATGCCTTCTAGATGAACAACGTACAGAGAGAGTAATAAAGCATGTGTGTTTCAAGTGACGTGCTCTCTGCCTAGTTTCACTGTAGTAAAAGGTGTTTTTCTTTCCTTCTTCAGCATTCAATATTCTACTAAATTTTGGGATTGCTATTACATACCCCACCTTGATTTCTCTTGGAATTGTACTGAGTGTCCCAGTGAATGCAGGTAAGAATTTCTGCCTTTTGCATCTTAATGAATATATTAAATCTATGGCCTTTCAAATGCACAACAGGGATAAAAGCAAATGGCTTTATTAAACATGTTTTACATCTTCTCTCAAAGATTTACAGAGATGATGCTGACTAAAAATGTACTTTACATGATAAATACATATTGTATAGTATTACATGAATATTCATAATCTCTAGAATACCTTTTTAAGTTACTGTCCAAAGCAGCCAGCATATTGAAAAACAAACTAGATTTGAAGTCATCTGTCTCCGAGCTGGTACAAAAACTCATGGATAAAGTAGAAATCAATTCTTAATGATTTCTTCAAGGCAGGCTTAACACTAAATTGAAACAAATAAAATTGCTTACAGTTTAGAGCAAATATGTATTAATAATTCTGCTTCCTTGATAAATAATATTGCAGGTGTTTTTCAAGAGCACTGGACAAGTCCCTTTGGGGCATGGCCTGGTACATCGTCAGTTTTCTGATATTTAGCAAAAGCCAAGAGGCTGCAGAGCCCAAGAGGGCTGGGCAGGGGAGTGCAGGGGCAAACCTGGCCCAAACCAGAACCACCTCTCCCAAACCGGACTCCTAAAACCCAGCGTGCTGAACTAGCGCCAGGTGGCAGCTCCCAGCTTTGTGCTGGCTGCACGCATGCAGAACCGGGGACCTGCCATCCACCCCGGCAGACTTTGGTACCAAATGGTGTGACCCTGCTGGAATGCGTGCACAGCTCAGCGTCTGCAGGGTTTCTTATTCAGCAGGGCAGTCAGGCTGAGAAGAAAATTCACTCGAAAAGGCTGCTGTGCAGGGGAAGGGAAATGCCCCTTTCCCTGCATACCTGGACCTCAGCGGGAGTTCCTCCTGTGCTGTCGGCAAGCAAAGGGCAACGATGCTGCTGCAGGCAACTGCAGCTCCAGGCATCGTCCCCTTTTGCACCGTGAGCCCACAGGCCAGCTCTGCCTGCTCTGACGGGGGCCGTACCCTGCTGTGTGCTGAACCAGTAGTCTCCCTGCCACCATCTCCTCCGTGGCCGTGTTCTCCTACCCCAGCCAGCCTTTGGAGCCGGGGAGGCAAGGGGGGGGAAGGGGATACTGCCCTAATGCTTTGTCCCACCTAATAACACCCATTCAATATCCCACACAGTTGTTGATCACTACACGAGTGAAATTGTCTTCAACAGTGTCCGAGTAATCGCCATCATCATTATTGGCCTGGGCTTCCTCCTGTTACTCTTGCCAGAGGAATGGGACGTCTGGGTAATAAAGCTTCTCACGCGTCTCAAAGTCCGGAAGAAGGAAGAAATCCCCGAAGGGAATGGAGACGTTGCTTCAGGACTGCCTAACAAGAGCCGGAGAACTCGCCCCTCCATGTCATCCTTTGCTCATTAAATGCTCTTTTTACCAAACTTTGTGGTTAACCTTATATATGATGATGCAAAGGTCTTTTCTTGGGAAGAAGCACACCTGTCCAACATGGTGTACATACCTGTACAGTTTTGATATGATCACCATCTAAGGCATCAAGTCTTGGCATGTCCAGTTTGCTTGTACTTTTTTCACATCAGACCTTTCACTTAAGTAGTACACTGAAAAAAAAACAAACCTGCAAACCAAGAACCTCTCTTCTCTTTTTAAATGAATGTAATATATAGTCAAAATATATTTACATAGGTTATTTTAAAGAACGATTTTCATGAAAAGCAGGGCAGACATTTTGAACATTAGGCACCGAATGATGCATTGCACACTGTGATTTAAAAGAAACAAATGCTATGCCACATCACACATTTATTTTTGACCAGAGCTGTACTCCGAAAGTTTTCAAGGAACCAAAAGGAAATCTTTTCGGGGATGGGAAAATGGGGGTAAGAGTGGAAGGAAGGAGGTTTGGAAATCACTCTATGTAGATGAGCGCATGTTGCGCTGCAACCAGGAGAAAATTCAAGCGCTAAAAATGCTTGCACTAAAGCACTAGAGAGAAAGCAGTTTAGAGCCCAAATCTCCTTATTCTGCACATGACTGTAGTTCACGTTTAAAATCATGCAAGAGAAATCCAGTGCCTTCTACAGAACTCTTGTCTTTATCCACGCAGAACCAGGTCCCGCCGCAATGGCACTTGCAATGGCAGGGCTCAGGCTTGCAGCCCCGGGGGACCCCGAATTCCCACCAACATCAGGACGTGCCCCCCCATACATGCTGTGGCTTCTGTGGGGACGCGGGGCCCAGGGGACCGCACGTTTGCGCGCAGGAGACCTGGTTCTCTTATCACTTGCACAGGTTTTACCCCTGTGTGGAGCCGCGCTTGATTAACACCAGTGTGAGGAAGGGGAAGTCTCGGTCATGTGTGGGACAATCCGACCGAAAATGGTCACAGGGGCTGACAAGAGCGTGGTTGCTGATGTATAGTCTGAGAGCACGGACTAAGGGGGTGAATCGCCAGTTGCTTTTACTCCATAATTGTGAGTGTTAAGAGTTAAAAATGTAAGATATTTACATCAAATGTAACACTTTTTATGAAACTTGTAAGCACCAGGATGTTTACTTATGCGATTTTGGTTCGCCATTAAATTTCTATCTGTGATAGATCACATGCTATGTAAAAAAAAAGGGGGGGGGGAAGGTTATAGTTTACTATTTTTGAAGTTTACATTGTTGCATACAAAATTAAAGTGTTCTTTTAAACTGCTGCCATAAGCCTAAGGGTCCCTGCTGCCACTGAGGCCCTCTTTGTCTCAGGCAGGGGTGGCATCCACTTCAAAACATTTTAGCAAATCAACTTCAGATTCCATTATCTGTTTGGCAAAGCTAAATAATAAAAGATTTTAAACTCAGCCTCGATCAGTGCTATCTGTTTCCCTCTCTTGACTGCACCTTTATTCCAGTTTTACTGTGGGTAGCACTTGGCCAAAGTGATCAGAAGGGAGAGACGAGATCATCAAAGCAACCGAGGCTGCAACTGATGCGCTGCCTCTCAGCCTCTCCTCTTCAGGAGGAGCCTTAGACTTCCTGGACAAATCTGTCCGGAACGCTGATGTTAGGCATCAGTCAGGAGCTACACGCCCAGCAGAAGTAGACGAAAGGAAAAGCCGACCTTCCTTTGAAACCGTCAGTGAGCAGCCATAAAGCCAGATGCCAACAGGTATTTAGGGGCTGTGGATGGGACGTGAGTTTGTCCATTAATAATTAGGCCCCGGTCAAGGCTGTCTGTTGTTTCCTACATATCTCTTCATGGCCAAAAGACACTAAAGATTTGCTAAGAGAGATTACACACGCAAGCAAAAATCTGAGGCTGTGTGAAGCTGCTCACAACCACTGTCCCATTCAGTGCTACGCACCTGAATTTTTAAATCCATTTCTTTGGGAAGCAGGGGAGGGAAAGGCATGGGACAGGAGCACAGGTACCACTCTAATAACTGGTTTGAAGGGTGCACACAGACTTGATCTCAAAGCTCCCAGCTTAGAGCTTACTCCATCTTCGGGCATACCATTTTGTCATCCTCAAAGTACCCCACTCCCCTCCCCAAGCCCTCTGTCTGAGGCAAGGCCAGAGAAAAATGTACAAACAGTCCTTCCATTTTCCACAGTCCCCTTAAGTGGCATCTTCTGTCATCTCTGCATTCCATTTTGCTGTGTGTTTGATGCAGTCTGGTAGGTATCCAAAACTCTCTAAATGCCACTTTAAAAATGGCAACTAACATGTGTTTATTACTAAAACCACAGCAGACTTCTTAACATTCAGTACAGATCGTGGGGGAACTTACGCACCAGAATGGACAGCATCATCAGTAAAACTCTGTGATTTACCGGATGCACTTGTCATTGCTTCTGTTGGCTCATCCTTCCTGAGAACAGGCTAAACACCAGAAAGGGCTGGGATTCCAAACAGCACTGTATTACAATCTCTCTCCTGAGTGGGAGCTGAGCAAACTAGATTTACACATTAAGCAATTCTAAACTACACATAGACAAATTAATCAGTTGAAGTGACCTCTATTTTTTCAGGCAACACCTTGCCCTAAGGATAAACACCTGACTTGACAGCAAGCAGTTGCTTAGCAAAACCTTCCAGTGAGGCCCAGGATGTGACTAGGAGAACATCAAGAAAGCATCATGTCCCTATAGGTACAGGTGTGCATTTCTAAGTGCCAAAGCTTCACAGATGTAAAGCTGAGGAATGAAAGGAACTGGAGGTGTTGGCTGCCACCAGTAGGACAAGGCAGAGACCAAACCCTTCTGAGAACCTTTGGGGTGAGGGCAAGATTGAACCCACCTGATCCCAGGAAAAATTCAGTGCCTCAGAGATGAGGGCTGAGCTCTGGCAGGCTCCCCCGCTTGCCCTCACAAGCCTGAGCACTGTGTGCAATCTCTGCAGCACCCTGCGAGTCAGACCCACTGCTGGCCCGTACGGACCCCACACAGCTCTGCGGGCTGTACCTGCTTTGCAGAGAAGAACAACGCAAGCCTGAAACCAGCACTTTTAGCCCACCCTTGGCCACCTCAAACCTCCTCCTGAGGCAGAACTGCAGGTCCCTGCAGCACCAGGCCTTGCTGCTTGGTGTCTTTGAAGCTGGTCTCCTGCATCATCGCTGTGTGGGTCCTGCCCACATCACCAGGTGGACACCATTTCTGGTCAAAAACCTTTCTGCTGCTGTATCTGCAGGCCTGCACACCCACAAGGAAGTGAAGGTTTCCCTGTACAGTGAATACAGAAGTCTGAATTGACTTGCGTAGCGCTGGATCATATTCCAAATAAACTCACAAGTCTGCACAACAGAAGCACAAGTGAAACACCCCTCCTCATCGTTGAAAATGATGTCACAGGCTCCAGCACTTCAGAAGCCTTAGGAATAGCACCAGTCACCTACCTGGGCTACATGGACTCAGAAAGCAGGCTGGGATGAGAGCTACACAGACAGACTCAGAAAGCAGGCTGGGACTGGGGGTTTCTTCGAGGAATGGAAGAGAACAGAAGTCAGAAGCCATGCAGCTGGTGTGAATCAGGAGCACAGGAGAGCTGCTGATGGGATCAGGACAGAAATGCCTTTTGGAAAACACTTTCCAGGGCAAGATGCCCACTTGCCCCTTGCTACCACTCCAGTTTCAAGAAACGGGGTCTGTGCACACGCTGTAAAGTCATAAACTTCAGGGAGTTTGGCTCCATGTCCCTGATGTGTACTGCAGAAAGGATGGAGTCCTTCAAGGTGTCCGAGCCTGAGCTACTCCCTGGCAAAGGCCAAGGCTGAGAAGCTTCTTTCACAGTCCAGTCCCTGTGTAAGCTGTCTTTGCAGAAACTGCCAGCAGTTATGGATTTTGATGGATGAGTTTAATTAGCTCATCATTATTACAAGAGAAGCAACTAGATTTCTTCTTTAGCTGGCATGTTCTAGGGCATTTCCATAATAACCTGCACCTTATCTAGAAGTCCTGAACATTAAAAAGGGAAATAAGGAAAAAAGGAGCAGAAATATCTTGTGAAAGCAAGAAGGAAATCAAATGAACAGATGTCCATCTGCAGCCTAAAATTCTTCTTTTAAGAGGAAATCACATTACTAAGGACAAGACCAGTAGCCCAAACTAATGTTTCTGAAATAATAAGCCTCATATTTCTCTCTTCTATCTGAAACTCTGTTAGAGGGATCTTTTTATATGCACAAGATCATTCTAAAGAAGGTGGTGATCAGGATTTCCCCATGTCCATCACAGACACACTAGGATGCAAACAACTTCTCAGTAATGAAGAGTGACGCTTATCAGGAGAGTTACAATTCTGGAAAAGGCTTAAACAAGGGAGGTTGTGGACCTCATGTTAGTAGTGTATTTAACAACCCATCATATGCTATTTCTCTGCAATGACCTAGAGACATTTCTTTAATCCTACTGCTGAACTAGATGATCTCTTCAGAAGAGAAGTCAAAAGAGTTTTCCAGCTCTTCATCTCCAGGTTTCCCTCCAGTTCTAGATTCAGTCCACCTAACATCTCAAGACAGCCATCAGTGCACTGACTGCAATCAACTTGCAGAGCATCTTTCACCCAAATGAAGAGAACTAAAGTAGACGTGCTTTAACAGAGTTATACACCATAAATTGAGAATCTTTCTGATGAGTGACAGTACTTAATTTAGAGCCCCTCAGCATGTATTTTAGACTTATTCACCATGTCCATTACCTCGTGCCTATTAATGCTGAATGCGGCCAGCTATTTGGCTGCCTGGCCTCATGACAGTGAGAGATCCTCTCTCAGTTTTAGTCTTCATTGTCTTGAATAAGTAAAAAAGAATGATCACTAAATCCTTTTTTTTTTTTTTTTTGACCAATCACTTATGAACACATACAAGAACACTGGCCTCAGCACAGCTCTTTTGGTAATCTCTCTCCTTTTGAAAAGCAATAATTTATTCC